TCCAAAAGGGAGAAGGGTGGCATCTTGAATTTCTCCTTTTTTCTCTGTCTGGTTGAAGTCCTGTGTATGAAGCTGTTCTGTATGCAGGGCTACAATGTCTCCATCCGTCTCCTTGCCTCACCCATTAAAGAAAAAAAAAAAAAGAAAAGCGACATGGAAAGATAAAAAAACAACGGCCACTGGAACCGAGCCTTAATCATTGTTATTAAGATTTAGGCAATGACAAAGTCATCTGATAGGGACACTATCACCGAGAGAAAGACATTTACTATTTTAGATGCACTGTGCATTGCCACTGACTTCCATATAGATTTCCATTAACTTCTATTTACTAATTTAATTTTGTTCTCAGTGCTGGGAGATTGGTCCTGTCACCAGAAATTAGTGCGCACTGTGTAGTTCTGGAGAGAACTGGGCTGGGTTGAAGGGGACACTTGGGGGGCATACAGGTGTTTAAGGATCTTACAGGGCTTCCTGGAGGGCCAATTCACACCAGTGTGTTTTAGAGCAGCTGTAAAGAAGATCAATGGAAGGACATCTGAAAAACAATAATTTCCAATCTGTTCTATTCACACCATAACATTAGATTGTGCTGCGCTAAAATGCAAAATGTATGTCAACGGTCATCAAACTGTATGTCAACGGACGTCAAACTGTATGTAAGCGGACATCAAAATGTGTGTCAACGGATGTCAAAATGTATGTCAATGGACATCGAAAAGTTTGTCAATGGACGTCAAAATGCTGTCAACGGACGTCAAAATGTGTGCCAACGGACATCAAAATGTATGTCAACGGACATCAAAATGTAAGTCAACAGACATCAAAATGTATGTCAACGGACATCAAAATGTATGTCAACGGACGTCAAAGTGTATGTCAACGGACATCGAAAAGTTTGTCAACGGATGTCAAAATGTTGTCAATGGATGTCAAAAAGTGTGTCAACGGACATGAAAATGTATGTCAATGGACATGAAAATGTGTGTCAATGGACATGAAAATGTGTCTCAATGGACATGAAAATGTATGTCAACCGACGTCAAAATGTGTGTCAACGGATATCGAAAAGTTTGTCAGCGGACGTCAAAATTTATGTCAATGGACATAAAAATGTATGTCGACGGAAGTCAAAATGTATGTCAATAAATGTTTAAATGTATGTCAACGGACGTCAAAGTGTATGTCAACGGACATCGAAAAGTTTGTCAACGGACATGAAAATGTATGTCAACGGACGTTCCAAATGTATGTCAACGCACATTGAAAAGTTTGTCAACAGACATCAAAATGTATGTCAACGGACGTCAAAAATGTTGTCAACGGACGTCAAAATGTGTGTCAACGGACAGGAAAATGTATGTCAACGGACGTTCCAAATGTATGTCAATGCACATCGAAAAGTTTGTCAACAGACATCAAAATGTATGTCAACGGACATGAAAATGTGTGTCAACGGACATCAAAATGTTTGTCAACAGACGTAAGCGCGCGTTAAAGCTCAACTATAATAGATGAAAATGAACATGCATTTTAGAGTCAGTGTGACTTGGCCCCTAGTAGTTCAGGGTGGTGGGAGCCATTACCAAGGTAGAAGCATCACCTTTTTGGCATGGCACTAAAAATAGGTTACCATTTCTAGGCCAAAGCTCACATTTCCACTGTGGTGTGTATTGCTCAGCGCACAGTATGTTGTGGCTGCAATACCAAATACTTTTGAACAGCATGCAGATGCACAAAAGCAACGCACCTCTAATGCACATACTTTGTGGTGCATCACAGTACACATTAATATACTACCATGCAATGTGGCACAATGTGCTGCCAAAAATGGCGCATGGCTGTTTGGTGGGACATTTTGGTCCTTTTCCAGCTCATTTAATGAATGGTCGGTCTTACTGCAATGCACATTAACACACAAAACAATGTGCATTAAAGCACCAGGATGCCAAGGCATGAATGGGCCCCTTAAAGTGGTTGTAAAAGGTCTTTTTTTTCTTTTTTAAATCACAAACATGTTCATACTTACCTACTCTGTCTGGAATTGCACAGAGCGGCCCCAAACCACCTCTTTTTGGGTCCCCCATCAGCACTCCTGGCTGCTCCTCTCTGTCCAATGCCCCCATAGGAAGCCACTTCCCTAGCCCCGCTGCTGTGTCCATTGACATAGACAGTGGGATTTTGCCCCACCCCCAGTCACTGGCTTTGATTGACAGCAAGAGGAGCCAATGGCTCCCAGTGCCACATCAAAGCCCGTGAGACGTGGAAAGGAGAGGAGAGAGGGAACTGGAGATGGGCACAGTGTTGGACCGAATGAGGACTCAGGTAAGTGATGGGGGGGGGGGGGGTGTTGAGGGATTCTGATGACTAAACATTTTTTACCTTAATGCAAGGAAAGCATTAAGGTACAAAAAATGGCTGGGCTTTATAACCACTTTAGAGTGGTTGTAAAGCCTTACATATGCCCACTGGAATGACTGGCCTCAGGTGCTACACATAGATTAAACAACTACTCCTGCATAAGTTGTATCTGTTTATATGCAGCCCTCTGTCCTCTATAGCCAAAGTCCAGCATTTACACAGCATTTCAGAAGTCAGGAGGAGAGGATCCGATGTAACTCACTGTATAGCACAGTGCAGAGAGTGGAGTGTAATCTGAGACCTGAGTGCAGGGAATAGACACAGCTCCCTTTACACAGTCTCATAGGGAAGGATACACAGCTGAGGCTGAAAATCACCTACTGTGTGCTGGAGGGGGGCAGGGCCGTCTCCGAGGATTGTATGGTGTTGGTATGGCATAGTTCTTAGCTAGCTCTGTAGAATAAAGAACACCTTCCCAATGTTACAGAGAAAAGGAGAGGGGGGGTGTTTTGTACCCCTTTTCCAGGGTGACAACACTGCTCCTACATAGATAAAGTACAGTACGTGAATTGTCACCATAGGATAATAAGTGTATCACTGACAGGATCACCAAGGGAAACAAAAGGGAAAAAATAAAAACTAGTCATTTAAGGACTGCTAAGCTGCAATATGTTTCTTGTTTAGTGCTTGGCTTTAGATAGAACTAAATTTAAAATACAAGCAGCTCTGTCCATGGTGCTGAAAATTACATCATGCAACACTGCTTGGTACATTGTGATGTGAAACAAAAAAAAATTCCTTTTATCTTTTATTAAAAAACCCGACATCTCATACAGTATTTACAAAGCTGTTTTACAGCCTATACAGGCAAGTCGAGTGTGACTGTCTGCATCCTGATATTCTATTTTGCTCCCAAATTCGCACCTCTATTACTTTCAAGATGTCACATTTCCCCACTGAGACCGGAATGCTTTTTCATCTCAGCTGTTTCTCTATTTGTATCCTTTTCCCTAACAATAATCGACAGAATATTCACCAGGAGCCAATGGCATTGACAAGAGACTACTGATCGTTCACAGAATGAAATCAATGGCTGCTAAGCCATCAAGCTAATTGAATTACGACTAAAGCTCTTTTGATGGAAGAATTTAAAGGGTCACAAACCTGAGCCTATAACTGTAATCATTACACATTTTAACATTCGCAGCTATGATTGTAAAAGTGCACAAATCTGTACATACAGTCAGGTCCATATACAGTGGGGCAAAAAAGTATTTAGTCAGCCACCAATTGTGCAAGTTCTCCCACTTAAAAAGATGAGAGAGGCCTGTAATTGGCATCATAGGTAGACCTCAACTATGAGAGACAAAATGAGAAAAAAAATCCAGACAATCACAGGCTGATTTGGAAAGAATTTATTTGCAAATTATGGTGGAAAATAAGTATTTGGTCACCTACAAACAAGCAAGATTTCTGGCTCTCACAGACCTGTACCTTCTTCTTTAAGAGGCTCCTCTGTCCTGCGCTCATTACCTGTATCAATGGCACCTGTTTGAACTTGTTATCAGTATAAAAGACACCTGTCCACAACCTCAAACAGCCACACTCCAAACTCCACTATTGAAGACCAAAGAGCTGTCGACGGACACCAGAAACAAAATTGTAGACCTGCACCAGGCTGGGAAGACTGAATCTGCAATAGGCAAGCAGCTTGGTGTGAACAAATCAACTGTGGGAGAAATAATTAGAAAATGGAAGACATACAAGACCACTGATAATCTCCCTCGATCTGGGGCTCCACGCAAGATCTCACCCCGTGGGGTCAAAATGATCACAAGAACGGTGAGCAAAAATCCCAGGACCACACGGGGGACCTAGTGAATGAACTGCAGAGAGCTGGGACCAACGTAACAAAGGCTGCCATCAGTAACACACTACGCCGCCAGGGACTCAGATCCTGCAGTGCCAGACGTGTCCCAATGCTTAAGCCAGTACATGTCCGGGCCCATCTGAAGTTTGCTAGAGAGCATTTGGATGATTCAGAAGAGGATTGGGAGAAGGGCATTGAAGGGCATTGAAGATGAAACGTGGCTGGGTCTTCCAACATGACAATGATCCCAAACATACCACCCGGGCAACGAAGGAGTGGCTTCGTAAGAAGCATTTCAAGGTCCTGGAGTGGCCTAGCCAGTCTACAGATCTCAACCCCATAGAAAACCTTTGGAGGGAGTTGAAAGTACGTGTTGCCCAGGAACAGCCCCAAAACATCACTGCTCTAGAGGAGATCTGCATGGAGGAATGGGCCAACATACTAGCAACAGTGTGTGCCAGCAACAGTGTGTGTTGGCAATGACAATGTCTGTCATTGCCAACAAAGGATATATAACAAAGTATTGAGATGAACTTTTGATATTGACCAAGTACTTATTTTCCACTATAATTTGCAAATAAATTCTTTCCAAATCAGCCAATGTGATTGTCTGGATTTTTTTTCTCATTTTGTCTCTCATAGTTGAGGTCTACCTATGATGCCAATTACAGGCCTCTCTCATCTTTTTAAGTGGGAGAACTTGCACAATTGGTGGCTGACTAAATACTTTGCTAAAGGTTCCATGAGCTATGGTGGGCTTCCATCTCATGCCTGCAAGTTTCTGGGTCCAACACCAATTGGAAGAACCACCAGCATAACACAACTGATCTCTTGAACTGTAAGAGTAGCTTTTGACCACCACTGTAAGATGGGCATTTTTCCTACTGACAATGAATGTAAGGAGCATTCTTCCCATTGACAAAACATTGGAAGAAGCATTCTTTCTTCTGTCCAACAATATAATGAGCATCCTTCCCACTGTAAAGAGCAGTATTTCCACTGACCACCCACGTAAGGAGCACTCTTCCCACTGACTACCAATGTAAGCAGCATTCTTCATACTGACCACCAATTTTTCATACTGACCACCAATGTAAGAAGCATTCTTCATACTGACCACCAATGTAAAGAGCATTCTTCATACTGACCACCAATGTAAGGAGCATTCTTCATACTGACCACCAATGTAAGGAGCATTCTTCATACTGACCACCAATGTAAGAAGCATTCTTCATACTAACCACCAATGTAAGGGAGCATTCTTCCCACTGATCACCAATGTAAGAAGCATTCTTCATACTGACCACCAATGTAAGGAGCATTCTTCCCACTGATCACCAATGTAAGAAGCATTCTTCATACTGACCACCAATGTAAGGAACATTCTTCCTAATAACCACCAATGTAAGAGACATGCTTCCCAATGAACATCATTTTAAGGGTGTCAGGAACCATAAACCAGGCTGAGACAGAAACTGCAATTAAAATCACACCTTTAAAAAATTGCAAAAATAATAGAGTTCAGGAACGTAGTCAAAAACAATAACCAGGGTTTGGATGCCAGAGCTGGTAATCAGATGAGCCAGGGTCAGGAAACTAGAAGTCAGTATAGCTAGGAGCAAAAAACAGGAACAGGCAGGAACATCCTGGAGATCATAGACCATGGAAATGCAAGGAGGAAATGAAGTAAGCTGCTAGAATAGTAAAAAAGGCTGGCTGTAGACTGGACTAATGAGGCAGGTAATGGTATCCAGGTGAGTCAATAAGGAAACAACAAGTGGCTGGTAATTAGCAGCTTTTGAGCACTGAAAGAAACGAGCTGCTCGGTAAGTAGCAGGAGCCCAGCCCTGACAAAGGGTCCCTTTGGTTGAAAAAGGCTGCTATAGAAAATATTAATAAAACCTTTCCATCCTCAGCACTTTGATATCATGTGACAATCAGTTGAAATAAGCTTTACCTCAAACGACATCAAAGTTATTAACAACAACATAAGTAAAGGCGGCAGAGTCAAAGAGTGATGTGTATTATTAAGCAGTCTGGGGAGTCACTTCAAATGATGAAAATGATGGGAGCCAAGGAGAGTGCTTAATACACAATAATTCCCCCTGCCACAAGGATGTCACGATTTGAAATGAAAGATGACATTATGCTGTGTCACTGCTGACGGAGTGTTCCCGTCAGCCTGAATTACACCAAATGAAGAGTTGGCAGCACTCTCTGCTCCCTAGTTGTACTCTAATCCCACACACTCTGTACAGTATGTAAAAGGAGAGAAAAGTGCAGAATCATACTTTCAAAAATGCTTTTTGCAATCTGACAAGATAAAAAAGAAAAAAATATGCCTGCATTTTTACAACAGCAAGATATTGATTTCACTGAAAAGCAAGACATGGTTCCAAAGTGAACCTATTTTTAAAATACACTATGGGGGTCAGTCGCTAAAGGCAAATTGACTATGCACTTTGCAAGTGCAGTTGCTCCAGATCTTAGTAAATGAGGTGAAGATTCACTTTACAAAGAATACCCAATCACATGCAAGGAAAATTTAAAAAAAACAGCATTGTTGCTTGCACATGATTGGATGATGAAAGTCATTATAGCTTCCCCTCATTTATTAAGCTCTGGAGCAATTGCACTTGCAAAGTGCACAGTCAATTTCCCTTTAGTAAATCAACCCCAATACGCTTGTAGACACTTAACCATCTCATCTATATGAGCTTTTTGGATATCCTATTCCAAAACTATAGACAAAAAAACGCTAAAATCAAAAATGTAATATATTGCAGTAAACCGGTCCTTATAGATGTGTTGTGCAATGGCTCTCTTTTTTTCAAGCCTAGATTTCCCATTTATTTTCACCTGGTGAGCCTGAGAAGAACACATTTCCAATTCCTTCATGTCTACACTTTTTTTCTCCATTCTATCTATGGGGCAACTATGGTGATCATTAAGGCATGACGGCAAACATGTCTGCCTCTATTCATCTTCATTACATGGGAGTGGGTGATTTGTAGTCTACAGAAAGATATTAGGATTGCTTTATGCTTGCAGTTTATCCCATTAAGCCCGGGTTCACACTGATGCGGTGCGCAGTTCGCAGAGATTTCTGTGCAAATTCCGCACCGCATCACAATCGCACCCTGTTCATGCGATTGTGTAAGTTAAGTTAACAACACCCCAAAATTGGTCCGCAAAACGCGGTGCAGAATCACATAGGTGTGAATACCCATGCGATCCGATTCTAGAGTTGGACCCAAAAAAGGGTCCTGCACCTTTTTGGTGCAGATGCAGTGCGATTTGAGCCACACAAGTCAAAACACATTCATTTCAATGGGTGCCACCTTAAAAGAAAAGGTCTCCATGCTTTTTTCTGTGACTTTGGTGCAACTTGAGTGCCATAACTGCAATGTTAAATCACAAAAGTCGCAAGTTGCAAGGAAGACACAAGCACGTCGCAACTCTGTGGTCACAGCAGTGTGAACAAAGCCTAAGGGGTTCATTTACTAAAGGCAAACAGACTGTGCACTTTGAAAGTGCAATTGCACTCATTTTCCCCAGAGCTCAGTGAATGTAAAGAAGCTTAGCTGAATTCCATCATCCAATCATGTGCAAGCAAAAATGCAGTTTTTTATTTCACTTGCTCAAATCGCAGCGCACAGTATTCACATGTGATTTGCACAGCAATGCGGTGCGGATGCTGTGTGAATCACATGCGATGTACCGCACTGCATTAGTGTGAACGTAGCCTGAAAGTGAAAAAGTCAACAGGTATTGTCTGTTCTCGTCAAAAATGTACATGGCTTGAAAAAAAAGAAATTGAATGCAGCCATCACATCTAAGGGTTGGTAATCTGCAATAGGACCTTGGATAAGGGGATACCACCAGTCCTCCTGTACGGGGCAGGCAGCTGGGTGAATCTGATGTGGGCAGAGAGGGTGATCGGCATGGTGGGGGCAATTACTGGAGCCAACCCCTGTATGGCTCCCTCTGCAGCAGCTGAAAGATGGCTTCTTCTCCTCTCCCTCCCAATGGCTTTCAGCTGCTGCAGAGAGCCATACAGGGGATCGATTCCAGTAATTGACCCCCCCCTCAAGTCCATCACCCTCACCCCTCACTGTGCACCATACGTTTCTCTCTGCTACCCAGGTCTCCGTGTGTGCCCCCACGGTGCTGCCTGCTTCCCTCCTCTCCTTCCCACCAGCAGCTGCAAGCACACAATAGGATCCATTAGGATGGAGAGTTGGGGGAAGGGTCAAGTAAATATGTCACATGTACCAGTCCCTTTCCTGAATGAACACAATGAGTTTTTGGTATCGATCACTCACTGTGTTCATTCATAACTGTAGCATAGTGAACTGTGTTTTTTTTTTTTATTTGGGGGGGGGGGCTGTCTGGGGCCCCGTAGTTTCTAACAGTAGCCCTGGGGGTAAGCATGACAGGCCAATGTTCAAACTAGCTGATCCTACTTATAAGCAGAGGCTAAATGAACAAAGGACAAGGCGATTGGTCATTCGAGAGTATTTTCTGGCTTCTACTTTTACTCTATGCAGATCTTAATTGGATTATGGGCTCACTGGAGGTGCTGCATGGCAGTGTTTGGAATTCCATTCAACGTCCTAATGTCAATTCCCTTCCAATTTCTATCACATTCATAACTGTTCCTGCTATTATGTACCTGACCAAAGAATCAGCATCCCCCATTGTTTGCACAGAGAACATAGCAACAGGAGAATTCCATCTAGAAAAAGTCTCCCCTTGTATTATCTACCTAGTCTCCTAATCATACAAAAAACGTTTGTGTCATATGACCTTGAGGCTAAGTTCAGACAGGTTGCGGTTGATGCATTTTCCCAGTGCATTTTTAACACTTTTTGATACATTTCTGCATTTTTGGGAGATGTCTTTTGTCATGCAGGAGAAGCCAGCAAAAATGTCCAATCACAGCTGTCATGTGATGTCAACAAAGCCGCCATTCATTTGAACGGCTCTGCCTCTCCTCACAGAGCCCGTGAGTGAGGAGAAGCAGAGCCGATCTGAGAGTTACACCCAAGCACACCGACAACACATCACCCTGTCACAGTACCAGTGATCCACATCTGTCACAGTACCAGTGATCCACATCTGTCACAGTACCAGTCAGGGGCAGACTGACCATTCAAGCACTCGGGCACTGCCCCAGGGCCCAGGGTTAGTAGGGGGCCCCATGGTACCTTTCATTGGCTTTTTCATAGGCTTTTTTGGGTGTGGGCGAGGACACAGTGGCCCCATGATCCCCTATTGCCTGGGGGCCCCATGAGTTGTCAGTCCACCCCTGGTACCAGTGATCCACATCTGTCACAGAGCCAGTGATCCACTTCTGTGGTCCACATCTGTCACAGAGCCAGTGATCCACTTCTGTGGTCCACATCTGTCATGGTACCCGTGAACCACATCTGTCACCGCACCCTGAACCACATCTGTCACCGTACCCCTGATCCACATCCGTCACAGTACCCCTGATCCACATCTATCACCGTAACTGTAAGCCACATCTGTCACCGTACCAGTGGGCCACATCTGTCACCGTACCCGTGATCCACATCTGTCACCGTACCCGTGAGCCACATCCGTCACAGTACCCGTGAGCCACATCCGTCACAGTACCCGTGAGCCACATCCGTCACAGTACCCGTGATCCACATCCGTCACCATACCCGTGAGCCACATCCGTCACAGTACCCGTGAGCCACATCTGTCAACACACCCGTGATCCACATCTGTGATCCACATCTGGCACAGTACACGTGATCCACATCTGTCACCGTACCCGTGAACCACATCTGTCACCGAACCCGTGATTCACATCTGTCACCGTACCCCTGATCCACATCCGTCATCGTACCCGTAAGCCACATCCGTCACCATACCCGTGATCCACATCCGTCACCGTACCCGTGAGCCACATCCGTCACAGTACCCCTGATCCACATACGTCACAGTACCCCTGATCAACATCCGTCACCGAACCTGTAAGCCACATCCGTCACCATACCAGTGATCCACATCTGTCACCGTACCCATGAGCCACATCCGTCACAGTACCCCTGATCCACATCCGTCACAGTACCCCTGATCCACATCTATCACCGTAACTGTAAGCCACATCTGTCACCGTACCCGTGGGCCACATCTGTCACCGTACCCGTGATCCACATCTGTCACCGTACCCATGAGCCACATCCGTCACAGTACCCGTGAGCCACATCCGTCACAGTACCCGTGATCCACATCCGTCACCATACCCGTGAGCCACATCCGTCACAGTACCCGTGAGCCACATCTGTGATCCACATCTGGCACAGTACACGTGATCCACATCTGTCACCGTACCCGTGAACCACATCTGTCACCGAACCCGTGATTCACATCTGTCACCGTACCCCTGATCCACATCCGTCATCGTACCCGTAAGCCACATCCGTCACCATACCCGTGATCCACATCCGTCACCGTACCCGTGAGCCACATCCGTCACAGTCCCTGATCCACATCGTCACAGTACCCCTGATCCGTCATACGTCACATCCGTCACCATACCCATCTGATCAACATCCGTCACCGTCCACTGTAAGCCTGATCCACATCCGTACCCCATCCACATACCAGTGATCCACATCTGTCACCGTACCCATGGGCCACATCCGTCACCGTACCCGTGAGCCACATCCGTCACAGAAACCGTGAGTGAGGAGAAGCAGAGCCGATCTGCGAGTTACACCCAAGCACACTGACCACATATCACCCTGTCACAGTACCAGTGATCCACATCTGTCACAGTACCAGTGATCCACATCTGTCACAGTACCAGTCAGGGGCAGCCTGACCATTCAAGCACTCGGGCACTGCCCCAGGGCTAGTAGGGGGCCCCATGGTACCTTTCATTGGCTTTTTCATAGGCTTTTTTGGGTGTGGGCGAGGACACAGGGGCCCCATGATCCCCTATTGCCCAGGGGCCCCATGAGTTGTCAGTCCACCCCTGGTACCAGTGATCCACATCTGTTACAGTGCCAGTGATCCACATCTGTCACAGAGCCAGTGATCCACTTCTGTGGTCCACATCTGTCATGTTACCCGTGAACCACATCTGTCACCATACCCGTGAACCACATCTGTCACCGTACCCGTGAACCACATCTGTCACAGTACCCCTGATCCACATCTGTCACCGTAACCGTAAGCCACATCTGTCACCGTACCCGTGGGCCACATCTGTCACCGTACCCGTGGGCCACATCTGTCACCGTACCCGTGATCCACATCCATCACCGTACCCGTGAGCCACATCCGTCACAGTACCCGTGATCCACATCCGTCACCGTACCTGTGAGCCACATCCGTCACAGTACCCGTGAGCCACATCTGTCAACACACCCATGATCCACATCTGTGATCCAGATCTGGCACAGTACACGTGATCCACATCTGTCACTGTACCTGTGATCCACATCCGTCACCGTACCTGTGATCCACATCCGTCACAGTACCTGTGAACCACATCCGTCACAGTACCCGTGAGCCACATCTGTCAACACACCCATGATCCACATCTGTGATCCACATCTGGCACAGTACATGTGATCCACATCTGTCACTGTACCTGTGATCCACATCCGTCACCGTACCCGTGATCCACATCCGTCACCGTACCTGTGATCCACATCCGTCACAGTACCCATGAGCCACATCTGTCAACACACCTGTGATCCACATCTGTGATCCACAATTGGCACAGTATACATGATCCACATCTGTCACCGTACCTGTGATCCACATCAGTCACCGTACCCGTGATCCACATCCGTCACCGTACCCGTGATCCAGATCTGTGATCCACATCTGTCACACAGTGCCCGTGATCAACATCTGTCACACAGTATTGGTGATCCATATCCGTCATGGTGTACCAATGGTCAGCCACATCTGTACCAGTGATCCACATCTGTACCAGTGATCATCCACTTCTGTACCAGTGATCTGAATCTGTCACAGCCTACCAGGGTCAAATTCACATCTGTCACTGTTTACCAGTGCTCAATATCTGTCACAGTGTACCAGTGTCAAATCAACATCTGTGCCAGTGATACACATCTGTACCAATGAACATCAAAATGTCTAAAAAATAATACACCAGTGAGGAGGCTTTCCAAATACTGAGTATGACGGACGAGAGTAGCAGGGAACTAGCCAATTGAAAGCAGTGGGTCAGCAACTGATTCTGAGGAGGAAAGAGTCCAAACAAAGAGGTTCAGGAGATCTGAGGAAGAGTAGGCATCCACCAGTAGCACAGAGGCGAGTACAAGCAGTACTCCCAGAAGATAGGCAGGCATCCAAGGGTAATTCCATTGTCCTGGTGCTCCAGGGCCTTCAAAAATGTGATCGGAAGTCAGGAAATGAGATGTGTCATTTATGCCTCCAGAACGCCTGTAGGTCCTACTTGGATGTTGGGCCTTTGTATGTGGCCAGGCTGTGGAAAAGTCTCACACATGTGGTATCCCCATACTCAGGAGCAGCAGCAGAATGTTTTGGGGTGAAGCTGCAAGTATGCATATGCCATGTGAGAGGAATAACCTGTTAATATAACAAGTTGTGTGAAAAAAAACAAAACATTTTATTTACTTTCTTCATTTTCCAAAGAATTGTGGGAAAAAAAAGAAAGGTTCAAAAAACTCTCCATGCATCTTACTAAATACCTGAGAATTTCTACTTTCCAAAAAGGGGTCAATTGGGGGGTATTTGTACTGTCCTGGCTTGTTCATCTCTCAAGAAATGAGATCGGCCATCAGTACATCAGGTTTGATCGGGTGTGGTCAATTTTCAATGATTGGTACCATAGCTGGTAGACTCTATAACTTCCACAAAGACCAAATAATACACACCGATTGGGATTGTTTTTACCAAAGAAATGTAGCAGTATACATCTTGGCCCAAGTTTATGAAGAAAAATTACTTATTTGCAAAATTTTAAAAACAGAAATGAAGAAAAATTCAGGATTTTTTTTCACATTTTTCGGTCTTTTTAAATTTACAGCGCAAAAAAAAATAAAAAAACCAGTGCTAATTAAATACCACCAAAAGAAAGCTCTATTTATGTGAAAAAAAAACAAAAATTTCATTTGGGTACAGTGTTGCATGACTGAGTAATTATCATTCACAATGTGAGAGCGCTGAAAGCTGAAAATCGGGCTAAGCAGGAAGGGGGTAAAAGTGCCCATTATTGAAGTGGTTAAAGAGCAATTGCAGACATCAAACTGCTAACATCAGTATCCAGCAAACACTGCAACTGTGCTCAAGGTGTTTGTAAACCTTTGCTGTCAATACAATGTCCCAGCAGAGGGTTTCCTCCATCTGCCACATTTGTGAAGATGGAGGAATCTCTTAATTTTTTTTTTTGTTCAGCCCATTAGCTGAATGAAAATGAGCAAACCATGTATGGTCCAGCTCCAGGCTGTGCTCACTAGATACATCCTAAGGCGTTATCTTCATCTTTCATCTTTTCTCTTTATTTAACCAATTAGTAAATGGATTATTTGATCATTACATTAAGCTCCAGTAATAACCAATTATGTTGTCCAATTACAATCATGGTTACCGAATCTGCGGTATGTATGTTGATGATTACAAAGGAATGTTACCTTTATCTCCCGCGTTAGTCACTCCTTCCTTATGATATATTTAAAATAGAACTCGGGTAGAGTAGATGTCCAACATTCTCTTAGACAAGGGATCTTTAATTGGCTGTCATTTGAAATTCTCGGCAGGGGATGGGCACAGGTCTTTGGCTGGTGTTGGATTTGTATCCCTGTAAAGCTCATTATTTTCAATCTCATTGACAGTGTAAGCAAGCAGGATGTCTGCAGGAGGAGTGTGTGAGTGTATAAGGGGGGCATGCTGAAAAGGTTCTTATAGAGCGCAGGTATCCAGACATTTTTCAGTATGATAAAAAAATGGAGGCATGGCACTGGATCTCTGAATAATAAACAAACAAAAATAAAGATGGGGTCTTATTAAACCTTGAATTAAAAATGTAAAAATTGTCTTGGTGTGTCAGATGACACGTGAATAGCACATGATTATTAATTGATTAGTTATTATCAATTGGATAGCTGTGGCATTTTTAACCACTTCAATACCGGGCACTTATACCCCCTTCCTGTCCAGGCCAATTTTCAGCTTTCAGCGCTGCTGCACTTTGAATGACAATTGTGCGGTCATGCAACACTGTACCCATATGAAATTTTTATAATTTTTTCACATAAATAGAGCTTTCTTTTGGTGGTATTTAATCACCACTTTAAATAAGATAAATAAAACAAAAAACACCTGAAACTTCTGAAAAACAAACGTACTTTTCTTCGTTTCTGTTATAACATTTTGCAAATAACATTTCTTCATAAATACAAATTCAATTATTTGTATTATTTCAACCAAAGAAATGTAGCAGAATACATTTTGACCTAAATGTATTTTTTTCAAATGTTTCTATTTTTTTTAATATTTTTCTTTTTTTTTACAATTTTATTTTTCAGCACACTATGACCAAAGCAATACAATGTTACCATAGTAACATTGAACTAATCTGGGCAACTGATCAGGATTTTTTTTTTTAACACATTATGATTGCTAATGCCAATATATTTTATTGATAGTTGCAATCATTGCTACTGAATGAAACTGATTCATTCAGGTTTTTGCTGTGATTAGCTGTGATTGGGCAAAGCAGATCACATGATACAGATGGAATGTGATTCGCCCTGTCTGTATCATGTGACTGCCTTGACCAGTCACAGCTAACATAATTGTATACAAAGAATGGCATGACATGAAGCCATCCATTGTATACAATTGACATGTGATCTGCTGTGATTGGTCAGAGCGGTCACATGACACTGATAATGGGCTGGTGTAGTGATATGTTATCGGCTGTGTCCCGTGTCTACGGCTGTGTGAGCGGCTCATTTTGACAGGACATCATATGACGGCCAGTCACAACAGCGAGTGTCCCGCCCGGCCATCAATCTGCTATAGGCCGGGCGGGAAGGTGTTAATTATACATTTTTCATATATTTTTCCGTGGTGCAGTTCCATATAGAGAATTTTTTGCACATCAATAGCATTGTCAGTAACTGGACCTAATTCTATTTTGATTGCACAAAAATCTCACTAATTGTAGCTAGATTGCATTTTTTTTTTTTGAGGTTGTTATATACATAGATATGATAAAATCCTTATGACTTTTTTTGCAGCTCTTCTGTTTGTACGTAAACTGTATGTAAAGGAGAAATCAAACTATAGTCATGCTGGTCTCTGTTTGGACTAAATAAAAGGTAACTCCGCCTTTCTGCGTAACAAAATAGCAAATTTTTAAAAAATAATATACAATTGCTACACAAGCTATGTTGTAATTTCCTGTTTCCTTTTCAACCTGCAGCATTGTAATATTCCTGTAAAATTCAGTGCAATATGGCAATCTGGAGGCCTTCTGTACACCATTGGTGTATAAAACACCCCCCAGAAATGACCTGCTTGTGTGAATGGCTCACTAATTTTCTCATAAGTCTTCACAAAGATACAAGTCAATTGATAAAACCAAAAAGAATTGTGCGCTGCCAATGTGCTGAATAAAGTGCTGAATCATGACCTGCTGCAAACACGTGTTATGTGTGTTCTCATAAAAAAAAACAAATAAATCAAATAAAAATGTGTCGCGCTGCCTTCAACAAACAATATTAGTAAAAACGAATCTAAAGACAAATTCAAACGTGACTAAAGCCCACACAAAAAACGATGAAAAATGAATTTCTTCAGAATTTCAAAAAAAAGTGGAACATCTTCCTACAGGTGACTGCACCCAGAGTCCCAGTGCTGCAAGTCCTCAATGTACGTAAATCACCACAGTGAACATAGAAGTCCAGGTGGACCCTCACCTTCTCACATGGACCTGTATGTGGACACAGGTCAGAAAAGCATCTCCCCTATAAGTGGGGGTAACACATAACTTGTTCCTCTCTGGGCAATCTTCCCCTTGTGAATCACCGCTGAACCTTCCAATGGCACCTGATTTCAGTACAGCTGGCTCTTTGGGTAAAGCTGGGGATCCTTAATTTCCTCCATTTTGTCCAGGTGGATCTCAACCTCTGAAATGTTGCTTAACCCTGACCTAGGGATTGTCTTCCCAACACTAATTACTGGAACCTCCTCCCAGCAACAGCAAATTTTAGGCATCCTCTGCAATATGAATTTCAGTTTTGGCAAGAGACAAGGATAAAATATTTTTAAAGGGATGCCACCACTGCAGCTTTTCTTATTAACCTCTTGCCGTCCGGCTGCTGTTTATAAACGGCAGGGCGGTGGCACTCCAGGGGCGGGTTGCCGTTCATAAACGGCACCCGCCTTTTCTAGCTGTGCGCGCTCCCTGGGAGCGCGCAGCACCGCGATCCGGTGCCCGCTGTGTCCTGCGGACATAGTGAAACACCGATCGTCGGACGGGACCTCTGATTGGCGAATCAGTGATCACATGCAAAGTAGTAAGCAAGATGTCACTTGTGACATCATTGCTTACTACGTGTGAAATCTGTGAATAATCACAGAGATCACATGGTACAAGGCTATTCACAACAGCCTTGTACCATGTGACAAGCTGCGACCAATCACAGCTCACTCATTACTTCTCAATGACTGCAAGAACGCAGACAGAGAGAAAGAGAAATGATTGCTTTTACATCCTATATGGGTGTAAAAGCAATCAGTGTAAAAAAGTAAAAACAAATCTTCATCACCCCCCACAAGTAGTACCGTGTCACCATGGTGACACTGTACTGCTATTGTGACAGTATCAGAATAAATTTTGGCCAAGATTTATGATGAAATATTATTTATTTGCAAAATTTTATTAAAAAAAAAACACTTTTTTTCAAAATTTTTGGACTTTTTCATTTACATAGTAAAGAAATAAAAATCCCAGCGGTGAATAAATACCACCAAAATAAAGCTTTATCTGTCTCAAAAAAATGGAAAAAAATTCATATGGGTACAGTATTGCATGACCGCGCAATTGTCATTCAAAGTGTGATAGCGCTGAAAGCTGAAAATTGCCCTGGACAGGAAAGGGGTAAAAGTGTCCGGACAGGAAGAGGTTAAAGCACTGAGAGTCCACCAGCTGATTATAATGAACTAGACCCTTCCAGATTCAGTCTGCACAGGACATGATGAAACAAACAGCTATTTTTTCAGAGCAAAAAAAGGGTAGAAATCTGCTACAACGTTTGTTAAAATGCCTGAAATGTACATTGGTCACCCATGTTTGGTTGAACCCAGAAGAAAGCGGTCATTGCTGGTCTAAGCAGCTGTGGCTGGGGCATTCCCTGTCTCACATCTGCACATACAGGGTCAGGAATGCTTGTGCCCACATTGAACTAATATGGCCACATGGCTGTATTAGGTCAATGGCATCCCTAGTGATGATGATTTCTAGTGTCCCACTTCAGTCTAGTGAAGGGGGACAGTGTCCCAAAAGCATGTGAGGATAGACATCTTTCACAGTGACAACCTCACAGAGCAGAAGCCCTTGAGAGAAGAGACCCAACACAAGGTACCCCACATTATTGAACAGTTCTCTTAATATGCATCACCAGACACCCCATGTCTTCTCATCAGCTAGGTCATTAAACATTCATAACACAGAATACTAACTCTCTAGCATAGCCTGCAGGAGCAATCTCAAACAACAAGCGGCAAAGAAATAGCACACCATATTGGGGTACAAATGGGCTGACTGCAGCCCACTGCTTCCTACAAAATCACAAGAGTACCAAAAGGAATTTAGAAAAAAATATTACATCCCTTCGTACCCCTAAAATGGTGCATATTGTCAGCAACCAAACCTAGCTGTAGTATGACATTTATAAGACGATCAGATTAAACAGGATTTTCATATAACAAGCGACAATAATTTGGAGGCTACTAATACTATTTAGGGAAAATATGTATAAAGTAAAAATGAGAAAATTCACAGAAATGCCTGAAAATCGACTTCTTTTGCATCTGGTAGCAGGGTATTACAGGCCGCATCTCAAAGGGGGCGGTAAGAGTGTATTTTCTTAAACGTTACCTAGTTTTTTAAAATGAATACTGACATTTTTAACTTTAGGCTTTCTATATGGGAGAGACTGTGGGGAGTATGCGATGGGTGTGTTTTGGATTTCCTCTGCTACATTAAAAGAAGGGGTTCCCAGAAGACCATCAAAGGGAGTGGGATGGATTGGTACACTACAGCTATGCCTGGATGAAAAACTGAAATACTAAGCAGATAGGCTGTGCTCCATGTATGAATTGCAAGGTTCCATTTTGTACCATTAGACTGATATTAAAGCCAATGATATTGCATAGAAGGAACCCTTACCTCCTCTTTGCCAGTCCCTCAATGGCACTGTCCGCTCTTTCTTCCTCTGGGTGCCTCCTTAGCAAGTAATGCGCAATGGGGGCAACCATGGGTGCACGCTCCCAAGGCAGGCTGTGTGCATCCATAGACACACACACACACAGCCAGTAAGCCACACCCCCACTCCCTCCTCACAGGTGTGACAACAGCTGGAGTCTCTGGCTCCCACTGCTCTCAGTGTCTCCTGTGAGATCAGAAAGTCAGAGGAGCAGTGCTACAGCTGGGATAATGCTGGAGCAGTGAGAGGAGCCAGGTAAGTGTTATGGGATGGTGGGGGGAGGGGAGGGGGGCTAGAACAGGTAGTAGGGCAATTTTTTTTTACCTTACTGCAGAGAATGTATTAAAGTAAAAAAAATGGTTTGAGTTCAGAACCACTTTAAGGTTCATGTACAGAAAAAGGTAGGCTCAGCCCAAATATCTAATTTTTGGGCCCCCATTTCAAAGAAAGGCCACCACAATCCCCAGTAGTTCAGTTGCTGTAATCAGCACATCAGTCTCTAAGTAGAGTTTGAAAGAAAAGGTCCTTTTGTGCCAATTACAAGGCTGGGTGGAGAAACTATGCATCTGGTGGTGGGTTCCCATAACCTGGTCGGCTTGGAACCATTTAAAGGACCAGCGACATACCATCACGTCACTGGACTCCAAATGGTCATACCGGGATGATGTCTGCAGCTGCAAGCATCATCCTGCTATTGTTTTTCCACCTGGCAGTTGGTTTTCTTGTATGTGTTGATATGTGAAAGGTAGTGTCATGAACAGGGAGATTTTTTTTGATGCTCATTTTCTCAGGAACAAACAGAAAGAACATTTTGCTCTGCGTGAGCCACCTGCCCACCAGCATGAAGAAATAAAACACATAGTTTCAGCTACGATGAGTAACAGCATGAAAATCCTGCAAGACGAAGCCTTGTTTTCAAGCACTTCTTTCGAAAACTGGATAATGGTACAAAGTCAAAAATCCTTTTAACAGAAGTTGTGATGAGACAAGAGAGACACTATAGTCCATGCTTCCAGTTCAGACGTATTTCGCTTTATTAGGATACAGCTTCTTTTCTTTATGGCCTGTCGATGTGTATCTAGTAATAAGGTCGCCTATCCAGTCTGGCAGATATAGCTTGACCTTTGCAATCTCGTGCAGCTCAACATAAATCACTGCTCTTTTCAAATCTTTAATTAGTGAAATTGTGCAGCATTACAAGACAATGGGATTTAGATCAGCCAAATCAGCAGTGACAATGGAAATGCGCTCTTACTAGATGCTGATGAAGAACGGGGCATTAAATAAACCACTTTACTTGCCTCAGGAAAGGGCAATCAATGTAATCCTGTGTTTCAGAATGATTGTGTCTATGGCAGATAGACAATGAATAAAGAGGCCTTGGTCAATCCATTTTGTTCTGGTAATCCTGGTATCTCTCAATTACTTTTAATAGAACTTAAAGGGAATGTACAGCTGTTTTGAACACATTTTCTTTCTTTATGATGGTTAGGACTAAAAATAAATTAAAGCTATGAATAAGGTCTGTTAGACTGAAACGCGTTAGCATCAGTTTGCCATGGAATATTTTTACTCCTTCATGCAATAAAGAAGATTTTTGGATTCACCTGTTGCCGACATTTTTAGAATTGGATTTGTACATATAAGCAGATGGAGACTGCTAGTTGGGAACGGTGAGCTTATATGCTTTCAGTCTAATACATTTGACAGGTAGTAGCAACCCACTCGTGTTTGGATTTGCAAGTAAAAAAAAAATTAAACTTCTCTCTTTTTTGTCAATTAAATATGAAATTTTGTCAGCAAATATTTTAAATTCTCATTATCAACCAGCAGATGGAGCTTTAGGCACATTTTCATCTTTTTTACAGGCTATCCTTATCTTCTTTGATGAAAAAAAAACTGTTGAGCTCTGTAGCTCAATCTGACAATGCTACACACAGGTGAATACATCATTGGACAGACCCCATCCCCATCGCTACCTCTCTGCTGCTGTATGTATTGAGGCTGCCTATATCCTTTTAAAAATAAATAAATAACCCACGCCTATGTGACAATAAATCAATAAACTCAATAAGTGATAATTAATGCTGCTGTTCACAGGGCAAAAAACACCATGACAAATTAATATAATCAATACCACAGCACAAAAATTATATAATAAATAAAAAAAAAAGTTTTTTTGTCAAAGTCCACTATCCCACAAATGGTGATTAAGTGCTCCAATCAAAAGAATCTGTGCCAAAATGAAATGTGTTCTTAAAATGATAACACCACACAGTGCTCAGTGATCACTTTCTAATATAGTCCACACTCACCAGATTGGATGGACTCTTAGCTTACAGGGCTTAAGAGTCATTAAGACTTTAGCTGGTGAGATGTGTTCCCAGGAAAATCCAGGATTCGGAACGGAATAAGGGTGAACTTCCTCAATACTTTCAACAATCCAACTGCAATCCAAGTGGCCTGGAGCATGACCAAAAAGAAGAAATCTTCTTTGTGGTCATGCTCCAGACCACTTGGATTGCAGTTGGATTGTTGAAAGTATGGAGGAAGTGTACCCTTATTCGATTCCGAATCCTGGATTTTCCTGGGAACACATCTCACCAGCTAAAGCCTTGTTGACTCTTAAGCCCTATAAGCTAAGAGTCCATCAAATATGGATTTTCCTGGGAACACATCTCAAGCTAAAGCCTTGTTGACTCATAAGCCCTATAAGCTAAGAGTCCATCAAATATGGATTTTCCTGGGAACACATCTCACCAGCTAAAGCCTTGTTGACTCTTAAGCCCTATAAGCTAAGAGTCCATCCAATCTGGTGAGTGTGGACTATATTAGAAAGTGATCACGGAGCACTGTGTGGTGATATCATTTTAAGAACACATTTCGTTTTGGCACAGATTCTTTTGATTGGAGCACTTAATCCCCATTTTTGGGACAGTGGATTTTAACACAAAAAAATTTTCTTTGTATTTATTATATAATTTTTGCGCTCTGTTATTGATTATATTAATTTGCCTATATCCTATTGATGCTATTTTCCTGGCTGTCTCAGGCATCAATACTTTCACTGATCTCTTACATAGTTACATAGTCTGGTTGAAAAAAGT